GCCTTTTCAAGTCGGCACGGTAAGGCGCTGGGATTGTGATAAAGATCCCATAATCGGAAAGAGCGCTTAAGCGGAAGGTTTGACGACTTTCTTGAAAGATATATTGGGAACTGAACCATTGAGCGTGTTGCTTATGAATGACAAGAATGTAGCACTACAGGGTGATCTGAAGTTTGTACCCATAAAAAACGGATCCCATGATGGCGCATGTCTCGGTGAATCATTCAAACGCATCCCATTTTGAAACAGCCGTGAGAGCCGCCAGACCGGAAATGTGCGATGAAGGTATGTGTTACTATGCATTATGGGACAGGTTGTGCCTTACGAAGTCCTTCGTCGTTAGCGCAAACTGTCCCAGAATGCAATTCGATAAATACCTGACCTGCGCACTCCGATAAATCTGTATAAGTGTATATAGTTTTGAACAGGGAATTATATTGCCCCATGTTGTTTCCAACTTTTGCTATTACGACCATGCCTGTTGCCGTCACTGCAAATGCTTCGACAAATTCGTACCGTCGGTGACATGCATGCTTGCTGTCTTCGAAGCCCCTCCCACTCCACCAATAGTATGTCTCGAGCGTTACCAGTCGCGCCCTCTGCTGTCCGTCATGTCAACTCCAATGTCTATCATCACGCCCGTCACTCGTCGGCCGAGGTCCCCGCGGACCTCTCCCCGTTTGTTTTTGTTCGAGTCACCGGCACGCTCCCATGCCGTTCCGGTGTGAATCTGGCTGCAGGATTTATCTTGTTCTTTTTTGGCGCGCAGATTGATTTGCCACGTGGTTCGCTGTGGACAGTAGGGCAGGCTTGGGCGCGAACTGTATATAGTTAAATAATAGTTCGACTAGCTTCCTTCGAACGCAGGATGATTGGACTGCTCTAGTCGACTATTTAGACCCGGTTCCAGTTCGTGATGACTTTTACCAGCATTTCGACAAGAGGCGATCGCACGTTGCTATTAGTGCGCAGGCGTAAATTACGTCACATGTCACCCATTACGGTCCTCGCCCGAACTTTTTTTCAGGGCACAGGACAGTGATAAACTCGCCAGCAGTCCTGCATTGTATACATTCAAGGGATCTACCTGCTCATCTTAGTTTCCAACTGCTGCGCTTTTTAGAGCATGCGCAAAAGACTTTGCCTGGCCTTGTACAACATGCAGTTCTTAAAAGTTTTCTACCGAAATGTTCAACACTGTTGCATTTCTCTACTCGTACTATCGCGACAATCTTCAGTTAATTGTTTCGTCATCAAAGTTGGCGAATCTAAATAAGTGGAATAAACTAGCTGGGTCAGTCGCCGAGCCATCCGATACTGAGCATCACATAAGAAGTGTTAGTACTGGAAGAGGCATACCATTTAAATGAAACTTTAAAAAAAATATTGCAATCATACTCGTTGAATTTTAATTAAGTGTAAACGCACTTTGCTAGAAGCCTGCTATAGCGCTTCAAGAGGAAGCGCCCTTATTAGCTTTGGGATTAAATTGTAGGAAGAGTTATACAGTCGAACACTGTTATATACGAGCTCAAGTAGACTATCAACAAATCCTCGTATTATCCCATACCTCGTATTATGCGAAGCGATGATTTTTCCATTCACGCACGGTCGCATAAGACGTTCAACAATGGTATTACCCACGTGAATGTGTGATCCTCAAACTAACTGTGGCCCGGCCTAAGCAATATTATTACGCCAAAGTTGTAAAGAATGGAAAGGCAATTTTGACCCTAAAATGACTGTATGTTATAATGTAAGTAAATTTAGTCAAATTCAACAGCTTTAGTCGTGATATTAACGTTTTTTTCAGTAAGTCACTTGGTGTTTGTTTTTCCTTCAGACTTGAGCAACTTCGGCCAGGATTCTGGGAACAATTTACGCCAGAATTTGACATTTTATTCACCTGTAAAAACCTGCGATCACAAAAGCAACGTCACAGGTTATGGCGTGAGAGATAGCGCGATGATTCATTCGTACCTGAGCAAACTTAAACAAAGCTTGCAGTTATTTACGAGTCCCCGCAGTTTGATGAGAGCTGTATAAGTTACGTGCCGCATGGCTGTGTGGCCAGTGACCATGATCGCAAATAACGTAAATTCTCCAAATATCTCACGTTTATTTTGATATCTCGTCAAGTGCACGGAGGGAAACGTGGGAATTCTGTTTTTCTTCTCTTTTTGGGGGGACGGTACACGTATATAGCCAGGACCCGTGGATTGGAATAATAAACATACCGTAATAGACAGATAGGCCTGTTGAATGTTTACTATAATTAAGCAGCTACGATCTTGTCAGAAGGTTTTCGCGTCTTTATAGCTAGCATCGTCAGCGGGAAAACCTGGCTGAGGATGGACGGCGTTTACGAGGCGAACGCCCGCGTGGGCGTGTGTCAAAAACACGGTGGCAAGTATGTTGTTTCCGACACGGGAGCTTTAAGTTCACACGGTACAGCGGTGACGTCCATACATTAACAATCCATGTTGTTTGTTGCGCTAAGGTGCAAAGGAAAAGGTTAATGGACAATTTTAGATTGAAGACGGCCAGGGAAAGTTTTAGAAGACCAAGCTTTACAATGGCGTAAATTGACGTCACTGATATTGCACGTGTTTTTTTTTTGCAATTTTTTTGCCAAAGTTATTTGTGAAACTATTTCGAAATTCGAAGTGACATGTTGATGCGTAAAACTATTAGCTATTTAATAGCTCCGTAGTTGATGACATCATGCGAACATATATGGCAAGCACAACTGACAAGTGACAAGCACAGGCCAACTCCCTTTCTTGGTGCACCGCACCCACCTACATTCTTGTAGTGTGTGGAAGAGAATGACACTCAACACACGTGTCCTGACAGCGCATATTTTTACAACAGGGAGAACCTTTGAGGCGAAATCAAAATTGGGAGACTTTGCCATAGCCCAAAAATGTCAGAGATTAATAAACTGGTCTGCCACGCCTTTGATTGTGGTTTCTTTCAAGAAAATTGAGACATTTCTCTCTTTTTCTGGAGGTGTCTTAACCGAAGCTTGTGGTAGCGCTTCGCGACGGGTTTCGTTGGTGAGGTTCTTTTGTGACTACAGGACCATTGAGCTTGAGGAAACCCAGACGCAGACAGGAGCTGTAATCTGGTTGGATTCTCTGGCTTGTGCTTGTCTTACTTGACGACAACACTGACATATGATGTTGTCAGGTTTGATTCCAAATTATGTCCATCAGAGATCAAAGGGCAGTGCAGTTTTTTAATCACTGCGGTTGTCAATTCTCGTCAGTGTAAAGTGCTGTGGGTCTTCAAGTTGTAGGTCTCACACTCGGCGAAATTTTGCGTGGAACGTTCCAGATCAAAGCTTTCAGAAAAGAACATTGTGATGCAAGCTTCTTAGTCTTGTTTAGGACGGACGATTGAAGAAAAAGAAGTCGAACAGGATTCTGACGTATTGGTATGCAAACCAAGCCAGGTTGGCAGAGTGGTACTTTCTTTTACCCTCCACCTCTATATTAGTCTGAGGATCAGACATTCACGTGGGCAGAGCCACGGGTCGAACGTTTGATAGCATGTACATTTTATGCGACCCCGCGCGCCAGCCAATCGGGATGGTCTTTAGAGACTGTACGTGTCGTCATTTCGATCAGAAATTTACGGAATACCCGAATGGTCAGAATCTCGCGGTCAAGACGCAGTCTTGTTTTGCATAAATCCCTCCTATGCAAACATACATTCTGGGCCAAGTTGTCTTTCAGTCAAAATCAATCAAGTGACCGTTTTCAACAGTTAAGAGTGTCTAGGATACCTAAAGCAGGATTGACAGGCTGTGACTGTTTACGTAACTTTACACAGCTATGCTTTGACCGTAGGAGACTGATAAGCCAGCTGTGCCTACCACTTGTCTGCTTTTGTCTGTTGACTGAACTTGACTAGTCACAGAGTAGTGCTTGCTTGAAATACGAACTGACTGTTGATGACTAGCCTGTGTAAAAGGCATGGCAGGGAAGAGTATTGATTTTTTTTATTCTCTGTGACTGTTCAGACAACAGAAGGGTTTTAATCGCCGAATATGCTGGCACATCTTAGCCCCTTGGATATTCCTTAGACTACCTCTGCAAATGACCTGGGTTCGAATCCACGACATGCGGATTGCGTTTTCAGTCCCTACTTGATTCTGTGGTTTTTCAACGGACTGTCCTTCCGGGGATTTCCTCCCACCTCTAACGCTGAACTTGTCTTCTTCATCTTCTCCTAACAGGTTGCTTAAGGCTTCCGTACAGTGTCTGTGCACTTTGATAAATCCTTAATTGGTTTGCAAAAATATGTCAGATCTTGGTGTGCGCATGCGCAGTGGGAAATTCCGCTCTGGCCTTACGGGATGAGTGCAGTGTCGTGAATTTTGAAAATAATGCGCCCCTTTAAATCCCCCCCCCCGCATGTCTTCATTGTTGTCGTGTGCACGGATATAGCGTGCTTTGCACTTGCAGCGGGATATTTTCCTCGCGTCTTTCTGTCAGCGCTCTCAAAGCTGGAATTCACCGGGAAAAAAAGAAGGTAATGAGCCCCATCCGTCAGTGGACTTCCGACTCGGCCGTCCAACATCTCACTTCTTGACCTGTCACGCTGAACTTTGTATACACTTTGTGATATAATATCTAGCCTGGGGTATGTCCACTGCTCGGCTTATCGTGCGTGGAGGCATGAAGGGAGCGGCCTGGCCCAAGCTAGCAAGGTGCCACTCGTAGTCTCCAATCCAGATTGATAAGGATATAATTTTTTTTTCTTCTCCCAATCTACCTCTCCCTTATTTTTTTCTCTCAACAAGCTTTAGATTTTGGTATTTAGTTGACGTGGCCCCCGGGGCTATAGCTGTATATTCCAGGCTCCTTCGGGCGAGGGTTAGGCCTAGTCCCGATCATCAATGAGCTTAAAGTACTTGCCGAGACTGATCCTCAGCTGTTTACAAGCAGACTTCTTGAAAGTCACAATTTTTTGGGTGTCTCTCTTTTCGCCAGACAGGTGAAGATGCCCAGCATCCGCGGCGCCCCCGTCAGCCCACAGGTGCGTGGTCGTGCCCCGACAGCCGGCGACGTCAGCCCCGCTTAGTATTTATACGCGCCCGTTTGAAGAGAATCGACCAGATTGTGGTTGGACGGTTTGACGAGTAATAGAGGAAACGATCAACTGGCACCTTGGGATGAAGATGTGATGGAGTTCTTCATTTGAATCACAGTCATACCAAGGTATGTTTGTACTATTTCATGCACATTTAACTGTATTTACTCGACTTTGATAATATTTGTAATTTGTTGAATGTGAAACATTTGGTTTGGGGAAATATTGACTTAGTTATATTTAACTTGTGCTTAATATTATTGTAAGAATCTGTTTATTTTGAGATGACATTTTCCACTTTCGACTCGTTTTCGATCAGTATAATAAGTGGCCTATTCATTTTAACTTGGAAATGAAGGATTCTTGACATCCATGTTTGAAATTCATTAGGTGCATATATTTAGTTCTATAAAGTTCATGGTATTTTTGTCAACAAGGGGTTTTTCAGGCGTCCAGTTTAATTGATAATGACAATGACGTCGAACTTGGGATAAATACATGTAGCTGCTTTCGGCCAAAAAAAATCGATTATCATGTTGTTAGCCATAACAGAAAACAGTTTTCGGTGAGATTCAGTGTAAGAATTGTGTTGGACAAAACTGCTATCCTGACGAACCTTAAGCAACTTCGTTTCTTCCAATACCTGTACTTATCTACCATTATTTGTGATAAAATATCCCAAAACTGCACACTTTACCCTCAGTTGTCGATTGCGAATTGAGCGTATTGTCCTCGGTTGACGATAGTTGAAATTGACGATTTGTGTCTTTTAAAAAAAACTGTAGTCGTGACAGTGCCGCACTGTCGCTCTCATTCAAACCGGTTGAACGTCTGTATAAGCAGTGGTTAGTTTTCTCAGCTATTGATTTTTTTCGAAAAACCCTTTCTCTATAAACGGAAATGACATCAAATTAAAAGGTCGTAAACTAAAACAAAAATTGCATGCAAATTAGAAAACAAATGCGCAAGATTTCTTTAGAAAGAAAGACTCTTAAATAAAACGAAATCGGATAGATCAATGATTTAAGATTAAAAAAAAGGAAGAACAAAATCTAGTGATGCGAAATTGTTTAAAAGAAATGAACAGCTTTTCAACGGTGGATTTATCAGCTAGTACACATCTGACGGGCCAAACCAATTGACCCTGAGTATTAGGGGAGCTGCCACATCAAATCCCGAGGCTTACAGCCCCTGAGTACAGACATGCTTACAGGGCATCTGACGTCTACATTCGTAAACAGGCCTCTTGCGTGACGTGACTCGGAAATTTCTCCGGCATCATCCCTTAAGTTCACCCCGACCTCCTCGCCTGTTCTGTGTTTATAATAAGTCGACAACAAGTTGCAAATTACGCGGGAAAACATTATTTATTATCAGGACTATTAATTACCTTTAGCGCGCTCGTAACTGTTTGACCAAAAAAAAGAAACAATTCATGTTTGATGGATCACTGTTAATCATCGTTTTACCAGAGGAGCCTTTAGAGTATTTCATTGCGGTTTTTGCAATTTTCAAATTGTATTTGTTGTTGATAACTTTGCAGGTTAGATTTGTTTGGGTAAATTGTAATTCTAAACGGCGCCACCTATAACTTGTGCATGGACCGTTGAGGGCGTTTTGTACACCCAATAACACATCGCGTGGCAGTAATTCTTTTGAAGAGCTAAAAAAAAATCGTCATTGAATTTGGGAGTACGAACTATAACGAGAAGCAAGCCATTTTGTTTGCTATCGAGACTCATGTTATGTCGAACACTGCAGCAAGAGCTTCGTCCAAAAACATGGATACCAAGTTATATGCGATTTCTATTGGACCATTTCGCTCACGTGAGTAAGTACTTCGACTGCGCATGCTCTATTCAAATGCTTTTTGGATCTGTTAAGTTGTTTCAAAAAGGTTTGGATCAACTGGTAACTTGTCTGCTTCACACGCACGCTTCTTCCGTATTCGCTTGTCACCGCGGGTACGTCACCATAATATGCATAGGCCTATCCAATATGCATATTTTGGTCTGGTTAATTTTAGCATTCTGACGAATCTGTTCTCTTTGATCTATTAAGAGACGTCAGGTGATCCTCGGGCCAGGGAACCAGACTAGGGATCCGTTGGGCTTGTTAATGCGCCCCCGATAACTGTCTGTATGACCCTGTGTTGAAAGAACGGTTTTGTTTCCATTCGATTCTGTCTTCAGTTGCCAGATAAATTGACTGATTAAAATAACCGAATGCACTTCCGTACACAACCATCTTCGCATTAACAAATGCGATTCTCCAGCATCTAGCAGAAAGAGGACCTATATTAAAAGGAGAAACTCCCAAATAAACGGACCTAAAAAGAAATTGAAGCTGAAGCTAACCCTGAAACCGGACAGAGTCAATTTTTTGGGTGTTTTTTTTTTGGGGGGGGGGGTTGTATAAAAAACTAACTTCCTTTATTTTGGTTGCAGAAATTATGGGTTCTAAAAGGAGGTAAAAGCAGCAACGGAGTAAATCAAGTGTCGGTTAACACAGTGAACCCTAAGAGATAACTGGGTCGCAGAAAAAAAAACATTGCTTGTGTATATTATATCCGTGCCACACCACGCCGTTTTGGTGACAGCTATGACTCAAGAACTTTTCACTACTCGGAAGGTCCGGTAAATATTGTGGTGACGTATACCCGTGGTGACAAGCGAATACGGAAGAAGCGTACGTGCGTGTGAAGCAGACAAATTACTGAGCGCACTTTTCATCATCAGGCGACGCAATAATGCTCTATGTGAGTAAATCACGTTCTCCGTTGACTTGATACCGAGGTTTTTCACAACATGAGTTGAAACATCGGCATTAAAGGCACGTACGAACACGTTGAATAGTTACCCGGAAACATGCAGACCTACCGACGGTGAGAAAAACCTTACCCAAAGTGAAGATAGGGACGGTATAAAACAATCTTTAAATTATTCCGCCTGAAATGGTGTCATTCTGAAGAAAACAATCATTATAAAGCTGGTTTTAAAAAGTATGCCCGCGGGTATACCTTTTTCTGTGCGTTATAGCTACGGAATTCCCCTAAGAATTGTGCGTATACGTTTCTACTGTTTTCTCAAACTGTCTTTACTATAGTAGCCGCTGAGTTCAAACTTCATCACGTTGTTATAAGATTTGGGGTAATTTGGAAAAAAAAATGCTACAAAAGTAGCAGATACTTAACTACGTACTTAAAAAAGAGATAAATTCCCTATAGCACAAACACAGCCTTGTTTGTATTGTGGTGTCAACCGAAGAGTCCCATCGTAAGCTCTCTGGTGTTTATAATTATATACATTTTGGTAGTCCATATCCCCATGATATTTGCGCAGATTCGGCGATTAATTATGCAAAACAAGACTGCGTCTTGACCTCGAGATTCTAACCATTCAGCGGGCGTCTTCTATCGGGTCTTTGGTTATCCGTTGTTGTATTACGAAAACATTGCCAGCAGCCAAATTGACCAATTAACAGCTTTAAGTCAACATTTCTGATCGAAATAACGTCATAATTTCTAAATTCGACTCCGATTGGCCGGCGCGCGGGGTCGCATAAAATGTGCATGTTAGGATGTATCAGACGTTGGTGAACGCCTCATCCTCAGACTATTTTTGGCAGCAGGCAGCTGTAATTTTTTTAGAATACAAATTCATCATTGGTGACGTCCTCAATATGTTTACACGTTCTTGATCAAAGAAGAGGGATTCTCATCAACGTCCCCATTTACACGATGTACTCAAGTAGGACAAGCACATTAAATAATGGTTAACTTCGTAAAAGCGAGGACAAGTTTCAGCTGTAACAACTGTTACGTGGACCCTTAAAGTAACCACGAAACAGACTCAAAATCAAATTTAACTTTTTTTTTACAAACCAATAATAGGCTATTACCTGTAACTACAGGTATGATGTTCAGCACTAGTGAGATGACACATCATTTATATTTAAATACTTTCTCAGCACGATGGCCGCTACCCATGAGGTCTATAGGACATAATGACATGCCAAACAATATTCATTACAGTTTCCATTTTGTTTGCTGCTGTTTCATTTTACGATGTTTTCGTTTCATCCCTTCCTCCTCAGTGATCTCAATGATTCCCCCTCAATGATCTATCATCGTGTACCCCAGCCCTTCTGTCAGGGTCTCTTGTATATAATGTGTCGGCACTCATCAACAGGGCGAGTTGTGATTCCCCTGGTCCCTGGTGGCGTGCGTATTAGGCGATAAAGCCCTCTCGTGACAAACCGGACCCGTGGGGTTTCTGCATTCTCTCATCGCCTGCCAAACTTAAGCGAGTTTTCGAAACCAAGGAAGTACCCCTGACTTCGGGGACCCAGGCTCAATTCAGGTCCGTGTGTTACAGTTTTTGTCCTTTCCATCGAGTTGGGATGAGAGCCACTGCCGGAACAAAACCGAGGTTTTGGAAACCCCACATTATCAACTGGTTAACTTTAAAGGCATTGAATGATAATTTGCATAATATCCCAAAACTACCGCATTATTATCAAAAAGACCTCAAGGATTAATCATTGTACTGGTACTAAACACCCCGTGACATTATTCCGTCTGGCTTGCTGCCATTTAGAAGAAATTAAGAAAGATATATATGGGTGATTTCGACCTGTCAGTAAATTGACTGCTTTGTGGAATGAAGAGTTCTGTTGACGAAATCGTGTTTCGTCATCAAAAGGTTGGACATGGTTTATCACTGTTTTGTCGAAAACTGTATCCACTGAGCTGAAGCTTCAATAGATTAGGTGTTGAGCATTCTTTTTTGGATTTTGAGTGGTGTTATTATCACGGGAAGCGGACAAAATATCATGAAGAGCAAACTCGTGATTGGCTTGTGATTGACTTTCGATGACTTGTGACGACTTGTGATTGACTTGTGATGAATTAATTACAACACTGTCGGAAAGAAGCCCCATACTATCCCAGATACAGTCGCAGATGATGGCCCTCGCAAAGGCTACGTATACATTAATGATCCAATATGTAACTAACTTTGTATTCTTTCCTATTCTTTAAGAGATGTAAGAAAATTGTCTCAGCTATTCCCTGTACCAACCCTTAAAAAATTTATAAAATATTATGGCAAATTTTCCGGAGCAGATA